GGTTGTTCATATTTCTCCCAGCAATCTTGATCCCAGTTTTGCTTCATCCAGCCTGGCATTTTGTATGATGTACTCTGCACATAAGTTAAATAAGCAGAGTGACAGTATACAGCCGTGTCATACTCCTTTCCCAAGTTTGAACCAATCCATTTTTCCATGTCCAGTTCTAACTGTTGTTTCTGGAAGTGTAGGCCTAAATAAAAATTGGGTTACTTGGGAAGCACTTTAAATAAGAGCGTAAGGGGTACTGATTCAATCCCTGGTCTGGGAACTAAGACCACTTCCACATACATGTGGTGTGGCAAAAAAAACAAACAATAAAACAAAAACCAAATAAGAGCCTGAGACTTGAAGGGGTTATAGCAATGAAATGTTTAAAGATAAGTACAAAATAAGAATTTAAGGCCACTTGGAGAAGGAAATGGCAACCCACTCCAGTATTCTTGCCTGGAAAAGTCAATGGACAGAAGAGCCTGGCAGGCTGCAGTCCATGGGATTACATGACTGAGCATGTGCGCACGAGGGTGGAGGGAGATGAGTTGGTAGCAATAAAGTGGTAGAACTAAAAAAAAAAAAAAATGAAAAAGAATTTAAGGCCAAATATCAGCCTCCCAGGGCTTCCCAGGTAGCTCAGCTGGTGAAGAATCTGCCTGCAATGCAGGAGACCCCAGTTCGATTCCTGGGTCAGGAAGACCGCCTGGAGAAGGGATAGGCCACCCACTCCTATATTCTTGGCCTTCCCTGGTGGTGGCTAAGACAGTAAAGAATCTGCCTGCAATGCAGGAGACCTGGGTCCGATCCCTGGTTTGGGAAGATTCCCCAGAGGAGGGCATGGCAACCCACTCCAGTATTCTTGCCTGGAGAATCCCCATGGACAGAGGAGCCTGGCGGGCTGCAGAACATGGGGTCTCAAAGAGTTGGACACATCTGAGCAACTAAACACAACAGCATATCAGACTCCCAGCCATAGTTTCATTTCATTTCCTGGCTTAGCTTTTGCCCACCTGTTTGTATTTATCCAAATGTAGTTATTTATTACAAATCTTATCTTATCAATACTCCCTTAGAGTCTCAGCAAATGAAAAATGTTCCTCTCTTGCCTTTTATGTTGGTCGTAAGATAAATAAGACACATTCACTCATTGGAAGACCCATTTCCTTGTCTCCAAAATGGTGCCTGTGGGGAAAGAAACTTGGCTTCCTCTCTCACTGATGGTTCTGTTCTGCATCCAGGTTCTCACCACTTCCCTAGAGAAGTACGTGCTGGGCTGCTGGCGGGGGCTGTTGCTGCCATCCAGTGAGGACTCCAGCCTTGTCCAGGAGGCCTCCCATCTACAAGAGTCACTACAGGAATGTGGCTGGAAATATCCTGACCCCACTCTGCTGAGAGTGAGTTGAAAAATCAGGGAAGAGGAAGAAGCTAGCCTTACCTCTTTCCCACCTGCCACTGTGGGGGAGAGGGGAGCTCTTGTACTCACTGACCACTGGTCCCCTGCAGATCATGCTCAGCGGTGCCAGTACCCTCACCCCGCAGGACGTGCAGGCCCTGGCTTATGGGCTGTGCCCAGCCCGGCCAGCCCGAGCCCAAGAGCTCCTGGGTGAGGCAGTAGGGCGTCTCCAAGGTCAGATGGCAACAAGCAGTAGGCATCTCGTGTTAGTGCTGGACAAGGTAAAGAGCCAGGGGCCACATGGGTAGCATCTGGTGGGCAGTGGGCACCTCCTCTCAACCATGCCCCTTCTGCTTCCTGCATACCCCTGCCTCAGGACAATAACGTCTGAGTGCTTTTTGCCCAGGACCTACAGAAGCTGCCATGGGAGAGCATGCCCAGCCTACGGGCCCTGCCTGTCACTCGGCTGCCCTCCTTCCGATTCCTGCTCAGCTACTCCATCATCAAAGAGGTGTGGGGTTCAGGGAATGGAAGGTGGGGGTGATAGGTAATTGGACAAGAAAAGGCAGAGAGACGTGGCAAGAGAGGAAGGCGGTCTTAAGAATGGAAAGGGACTTGGGTTGGTTGGAGCTTGGGTGCTCTGACCAAACTGGGACACTGATCACTGGTGTCTCTCCATCAGTCCGGGGCCTCATCAGTGCTGAACCAAGGAGTGGATCCTCGTAGTACCTTCTATGTCCTGAACCCTCACAATAACCTGTCAAGCACAGAGGAGCAATTCCGAGCCCATTTTAGCAGGTCAGGGGGAGAAGAGTAAGAAGGGTGGTGGGGGGGAAAAAAAAGAAGGGTGGTGGGGAAGGGTAGACACAACACAGGGGTAAATGTCCTTTCCTCTAGAATCAAATGTTGCAGCCCACCTCCTTCCTAGTGTCCCTTCTGCCCTTTTGGCCACATGACCCATCTTACTCTGGCTGCACCACACAGCGTGTGGGATCTTAGCTCCCCGACAAGGGATCGATCCCCCGCCCCCTGCACTGAGAATGCAGTCTTAACCACTGTACCTCCAGCCAAGTCCCTTCTCACTGTCTTTTCCCTGCAGTGAAGCTGGCTGGAAAGGGGTGGTTGGGGAGGTGCCGAGCCCGGAACAGGTGCAGGCGGCCCTGACGGAGCGTGACTTGTACATGTGAGTGCTCAGGGCAGGGTGGTGGGGAGAGGGGCAGTCCCAGAGGGTGGGTATCATCATGGTCTGCTCTGGGGCTTTGGAGCCCCTGGCTGACTCTGGACAACTCTGGAGGCAGTGCAGAGGCCTGGCCCTGCGAGGTCAGTTCCATCGCATCTCCTTCTGCTTCAGCTATGCAGGGCATGGCGCCGGCGCCCGCTTCCTGGACGGGCAGGCTGTCCTGCGGCTGAGCTGCCGGGCAGTGGCCCTGCTCTTCGGCTGCAGCAGCGCGGCCCTGGCTGTGCACGGAAACCTGGAGGGGGCTGGCATCGTGCTCAAGTATATCATGGCTGGCTGGTGAGTCTCGAGAGGCAAAGTCTGTTCAAGGTCCCCACCCCAAATGCTTTCCCAGGTCTGAAACCTAAATCCTTGCTCTTTTGTGCCCCATTTTCCTCCCATCCTAGTTCCCTGGCATGCCTGGGCCTTTACCCCTTTGTCATCGTCTATCTTCCTCCTGGAACTATGGGCCAAGGGACTTTGTCATTGGTTTAATCCCTCTCAACTCATTCACCACCACCAATCATGCTGCCCTCGGTTCTGTTTTTGAGCCCTTACTTTGTATTTTTTCCTTCTCTTTTCCCAGCCCCCTGTTCTTAGGTAACCTCTGGGATGTGACTGATCGTGACATTGACCGCTACACAGAGGCTCTGTTGCAGGGCTGGCTTAGAGCAGGTTCAGGAGCCCCCCTTCTGTACTATGTCAGCCAGGCCCGCCAGGCTCCCCGACTCAAGTACCTTATTGGGGCTGCACCTGTAGCCTATGGCTTGCCTGTCTCCCTGCGGTGACCCCTTGGAGCTCTCCTGTTGCTGATAGAAGCTATGTGACTATTCTACCTCCAAACTTAGGTTTGGCCCTGAAGATAAATATTTTACGTGATTTTCCCCAGTGTTTTACATGAAAGATTTCCTTTTGATTTAATTTTAATATAATAAAGATACATTACTTAAAATCCTGTTTTGTGTAGTTTCTCTGAGAACATTTGAAGATAAGACTGTTGCCGACTTCCCACTATGTGGTACTATAGATAAGAATAACTTGCAAGAGTCCAAGTCTGAGAGCATTGGGAAGAAAGGCAAGCCACAGGAAAAAGATGGACCTGGCTTGGCCTCAGCAGACAAAGCTAAAGGAGAGCTGGGCATCAAAATGATCTAAGTGGGGACAAAGCCCCAAGGAAAGGTAGAGATAGATCCATTGAGAATGTCTTGGCCAGGTACACTCATATCTATCTTGACTTCCTGCCTCTGGGATCCTGGGAATGACATTAGCTTTACTGCCTTAGTTGCCCTGCCCTCTCCTAAGTGGATATTGTCCTTCCCCCATATTCAGCTATTACAATTGTCAGTGCCATGCACTTTAGCAGCAGGTTCTGGGGAATTTTTGTAGCTCAGGTGGTAAAGAATCTGCCTGCAATGTAGGAGACCTGGATTCAATCCCTGGGTCTGTAAGATTCCCCCAGAGAAGGAAATGGCAACCCACTTCAGTATTCTTGCCTGGAGGAGCCTAGCGGGCTACAGTCCATGGCATCGCAGAATTGGACACGACTGAACAACTAACATACACACACACACACAAACACACACACACACACGTACATATTGGGAAGTTTTGCTACTTATGTATGGTTTTCCTCTCCCCAACTAGATTGTTAAGCTCAGAGCTATGTATCTTACACTCGAGTATCCTTCACTTCTAGCACATGGTAAAACACTGTGTTGATTAATAAAGTTACTGCTTTACTCTGGTTGATAATGTGCCTCCTTCCTGTTCTCTCAACCCACAGACTCTAGCTTCATTTGCGCGAAGCATCCCTTTCATAATGCTCCTGTCCCCCCTGTCCCTTTCTCCTTGAGCTCCCCAGGCTTCTTCCTTGCCTGTTATCACAAGGTTTATACCACCCTGTGGTTATGGTGTGTCTGTGCGTCTGTGCTGGGTTTTCGTTGCTGCGCGGGTTTTCTCTAGTGGCAGGGAGTGGGGTTACACTTCATAGTGGGTGTGTGGGCTTATTTCGGTGGCTTCTCTTGTTGCAGAGCACAGGCTATAGGCGCCCAGGCTTCAGTAGCTGCCCCTTGCGGGGGCTGTGCTCAGCAATTGCTGCACAAGGGGCTTTGTTGATCCTTGGCATGTAGGATCTTCCGGCACCAGGGATGGAACCCGTTTCCCTTGCATTGGCAGGCGGATTCTTAACCACTGGACCACAAGGGAAGTCCCAAGGCCTGAGTTAAGATTAAGTTTCTTGAGCATAAGAATCCTGTTCGTTAGAAGTTGATTATGCGAGGCTTGGGATATTTTGTGAAAAGAAAACGCCGCAACCCTTCCTATTCCAACGGGAGTCACGCAGCAGAATCCGTACGCCCCGCCCCGCCGCGAGCTTCCCTCTCTTCTGGGTTGAAGAACCATAGAGATGTCTAGTGCTGCGAGGCCCCCAGGCGTAGCCATCGAGATACGCAGAGGACGGCTAGAGCGTTGCTCACCCGGCGGGTTTCCGCTTCATAAGCCCTCCTTCTCAACATGGCGCAGTCGGTTAACATCACTGAGCTGAATTTGCCGCAGCTAGAAATGCTCAAGAACCAGCTGGACCAGGTGGGGATGGGCTCCTAAAACACCCCTTTCCCGCCTCACTTTCCTTCCCCCTCAACGCGTACTCTCTTGCCCCCCATTCCTCCCCTCTTGGGGAGAATTCCATTCCCAGGCGAAACCCCCACCCCGTCCCAGGACCCGCCCCTTCTCTAGCGGTGGCCGCTTCTCCCGCGAGCCCCGACCCTGACTCTCGTTCCTGTTCTCTGTAGGAAGTGGAGTTCTTGTCCACGTCCATTGCCCAGCTCAAGGTGGTTCAGACCAAGTATGTGGAAGCCAAGGACTGTCTGAACGTGTTGAAGAAAAACAACGAGGGTACGGGGTAGGCGTGCTAAGGGAACCTGGGAGATGTGGCCTGCCGGCTTCTCTTCCCGCCTCCTAATCCACTTTTCTTACCTGAGACGAGAGAGCAGTCCATTACGTATTGTATACCGCTGCAGGAGCCCTTTGCATGTTGCTTATCTAGAGTTGAAATGTCCAGGAAATTTTTCTGTTCCTGTTGCCCCTATTTTCGTCCTTTTCATATAGTTTTCGGGCGCCGTGCCGTTTTGAAACTCCCTTTAACGTCTAAAAGTTGGAGCTGCCAACCTTCCCCACATGTTTGTCTTAATTGCTTTCACAGGGAAAGAATTACTTGTCCCACTGACGAGTTCTGTATCCTTTCCACAGGAACCTCTTCCCTGCCCTCTCGTTTTCTTCCTCACACCTAACCTTCAAAAAAGGGCGGGAGATTTTGATTATTCCAGAGTACCTAGATGATTTTGAGACTGCTATTAACACAAGCTTAGTTCTGCTGTCTAACCTAAGGCCAGCATCTAACTAGTGCTTCTTGAGCACCCAGGTATATGTATTTAGAATTGAGGTGTGATTATTTCCCTTTGCTCTTTAAGGATATAACCTAGTAGGGAGGTAGAACTGGTGGTTTATGTTTTTACTATAACTTAGAAAACATAAGCAATAGAAGAATAGAAGATATGGAAACAAAGGGGTTGATTCTGTTTATTAATCCTCGATTTCAGTAATTATGGCTCTTATTCCTAACTGTTGTTACTAAGAAACCTAGATTGTGTCTTACCTGTTGAATGTTTTATGCGAGTGAGCAAGTTATGGCAATAGGGCACCCATAAACTACCTGAGAATGGACAGGCTGAAAAGGAAACACAGGAATAGCAGCCTAGTAGGGATTACTTAAATAATCAACATTAAATCCGTAAGGAATTAGCTCATTCATGTTTGGAAGTGTTAAAGAGAAAGTGAGGCTGGCTTTTCACTCTATTACTCAACACCAGCCGGAAAAAATCACTGTTGTTCTGTCATTCTAATGATCTATCTGTCATTCTAATTGCTCTAATATCTAGTCTTTCTGGAAGGAATAATGGTAAGAATTCTAAGAACTGCTTGCAGGATGCAGATGGGATCAGAGCAAAATCAGCATATGTGATTTTTCTCCATAAGGAACCAACTTCCCTGTCTCTCCTTACATGGAGTTTGTAGGCCTTCAGATGTGCCTTGTAGCTTATTTCTTTTAATTTTTTTTTTTTCCCACTCCGTCCCATGGCTTGTGGGACTCCCCTACCAGGGATTGAACCCAAGCCCCAGCAGCGAAAGCAGTGACTCCTAGCCACTAGACCTCCAGGGAATTCCTGCCTCCTTTTTAGAAAAGGAGGGTGTTGGGAGGTCAAGCTGAACTAGCTGACAAGGAATCATGACTCATACTGGGCTGCTGCTGCTGCTGGTTTTCCCTTAATCCTTGCTTCTCAGATGTATGTCCCCGGGAAGCTACATGATGTGGAACATGTGCTTATCGATGTGGGAACTGGCTACTATGTAGAGAAGGTGAGTGGAAGGGAACATAAGAATACATCTCTGAGGGGGAGAGCTAGCATGCAGAATGGGTTACCTCTCATTCACTCTGACCTTGCAGACAGCTGAGGATGCCAAGGACTTCTTCAAGAGGAAGATAGACTTCCTTACCAAGCAAATGGAAAAAATCCAGCCAGCTCTTCAGGAGAAGCACGCCATGAAACAGGGTAAGCTTGGCCTTGGACACCTCTTCAGACCCTTTTTACTTCCATAATAACAAACATGGATTGCAGTGTGAACCATGGGAGGGAGTATCCCCTTTGCTGGATTAAAACTGTGGTATCTTGATGCATTACTCCTTAGATTCTGTGTCTAACATACCCACTGCCTTTGGTGCTTGAGAAATTTAGAGAAAGGAAATCATGTGTTTTTGTGTTTGAGTTCCTATTTAATGGGGATGGAATGAGGGAGCAGGTGCACGTAAATGAACACACAGTAAAGAAATGTAGCCATAACTAGCCAACTACTAGCAGTTGTAGCCCTGGCTACATATTAGAATCACCCAGATAGTTTAAAAAGAAAACCTGGACCACTCTAAACCAACTACAGTTGACCCTTGAACACTGTGGGAGTTAGGAGTGCTAGACCTTAGTGAAGTAGAAGAAAATCTGCATATAATTTATAGTCTGCCCCTCTGTACCCTCTGTTTCAAGTTTGCAGATTCAGCCAATTGTAGATCATGTAGTACTATAGTATTGGGAAAAAAAAAACATGTAAGTGGACCCACACAGTTCAAATGGGTATTGTTCAAGGATCACTGTGAGTCAGTAGGGTGAGATTCCAGAGAACAGTGTTTGTTTTTTTATTTAAAGCTCCCTGTGTGATATACAGTCAGGATTAAGAACCAGTGTTCTAAAGGCAAACATCTTTTCCACATTGTTATTTTCTGGGTATATCTGACTCATCTGAAACTGTATTTTGTTCGTTTTTATATCCCACTGGTTCTCATATTCTCATATGCGCTTCCCTGGTGGCTCAGACGGCAAAGAATCCACCTGCAATATGGGAGACCTGGGTTCGATCCCTGGGTTGGGAAAAGCCCTTGAAGAAGGAAATGGCAACCCACTCCAGTATTCTTGTCTGGAGAATCCCCATGGACAGAGGAGCCTGGTAGGCTCTCGTCCATGGGGTCGCCAAGAGTCAGACACGACTGAGCGACTTTCACATCTCATATTATTGACAATTTAGATTCTAAATTGGTGTTGTGTTTGCCCTCTATAGTGAATCTCTGTGTTGAAAGTTAATTAACTGTAGTAGTCTACCTGTCAATTTTCCTTAATTCTGGGCTCTCCCCTTCAGCTCCTGCCCAGGGTCTGACGCTTCTTTTATTCCACAGCTGTCATGGAGATGATGAGCCAGAAGATTCAGCAGCTCACAACCCTGGGAGCAGCTCAGGCTACCGCCAAGGCCTGAGAGCTTGTTTCAGAAATGGGGCAGAGGGTGCCTGCTTCTGGGCCCTGGGACTTTGTGGACGTGGTTTCCTGGAGTGGGGGAAGAAGAGGGTCTGTGTTTAATGCTAATAAATGAGCCAGCTGGGCAGAGTGGTCGTCTTTTCTTGCATTAGGCAAGGGACTGGTTTTGAGGTGGGAGGGCGGTGGTGAGAGGGTGTGCCCCTGCCTGGAGCCTGATAAGCAGGAGTGAAGCAGTGCTCATCTTGGGGGCTGCACTTGGGAATCTGCCAGGAACTGGAATCAACGCTGGGCGGGCTGTTCTTTCTGCGCGGCCCGTTGCCATAGGAACAGCTGGGAACCGGAAGTGGGGCTGCGCGGGCGCTTCCCCTTCCGGGTCGGCGCCCTTACTGGCTCATCGTGGAGAAAGCTGCATGGGCCACCGCTTCCTGCGCTGTTTCCTGCCTGTGCTGTTGCTGCCGCCACCCCGCCGGAGCCCGCATCTCAAGCTCAACCTGGAGCCCGTCTCACCTTCCAAACGACCCCGCAGCCACCTCATGGCTCCGCCCCGAATCGGGACACACAACGGCACCTTCCACTGCGATGAGGCGCTGGCGTGCGCGTTGCTGCGCCTCCTACCGGAGTACCGGGTAGGTACAAGCCGCGCAAACTGACCCGAGGGCTGCCGCCAAATCGGGGTGGACCGCGTCTTCCTAAAGGTGTCCCGCCCGAGTACCCCTCTCCTCTCCTCTGCTCCTTGGAAGCCCAACATTAAATCCCTACCCGTGCGACCCTGACAGCCCCCTCACCTCCTGCGTCCCCTGCAGGATGCAGAGATTGTGCGGACCCGAGACCCCGAGAAACTGGCTGCTTGTGACATCGTGGTAGACGTGGGTGGCGAGTACGACCCTCAGAGACACCGATATGACCATCACCAGAGGTGAGTACTCAACTACCATTTCTTTAATTTTCTTGACTTCAGCTCTCCTCAGTGCCCCAGCCTCTCCGTGGTTCTTGTCAGCGAAGGGAACCGCCTTATCCTTGAGTCCCGTGGGACTGCTGTCTCCCATGCTTCCAATGCTCCACCTATTCCGCACCCAGTGCACCCCTGACCCCTCGCATCTGCCTTGGCCTCCCTTGGTCACCCCCAGGCCCCTCCCGATTCACTTCCTTCTTTGGCTCAGTCGGGCTTTTTTCCCACCAGCCTTATCATTACCCCACTGAATACCCCAGCAGGGACTAACCCATTCATGTGCCCTTGCTACCCTACCTAAGACTGCTGGGCCCACGTGATTGTGGTAGGTGGTGATAGTTCAGGTGTGTGTTGTCTTCTATGTCATTGACACTCTACCCCTGGGAAATGGTTCTTGTCCTCGGAGAGGGCAGAATCCACAGTACCTCTCCAATCTTTTCCTGCTCCTCAAGCCCCTGCCTCATCAGACTTTCTCAGTGAGTGATCCTGTCTTTTCTTTCAAAATAAATTGAGCTTTTCCTGCGTGTACTTGGTCAGTTTCTCACTCCTGAATCAACTCCCTCTTTCCAATTCAGGAAACCCTTCTGTTTGCCCCATTTCCAATGTATCACTTCCTGCTCTGGGACTCCGTATCTTAGCATTTCTACTTCTTGCCTGAAGAAACCAACTCTGCTTACGCATCTCCCATCTTGAAAACAAGGGACTGAAAAAAACCCAAAGCCCCCTCCCTCACATACACCACGCTGTTTAAAGTGGTTATCTCTGGGGTATCATGAGGAGGTTTTAAGTCTGTTTCTCTCTTTCTCTCTCTCCTTCCCTCCCTATCTTTTTTATTTAAGTTTACATATTACTTTTCATAAGTGATGTGGGGAGGGAATGCTCCCGGTGTGTACGACCTAATCTCACCCTTACTTCTCAGGCATTCTTCAAAAGAAGAGCTGATCCTGGCTCCACTTTTCTTTCAGTTCATTCCTTTTATCCATCCTATCTTTCCATTCAGCTGGGTCTTTTCCAATCTCTCTACTGGAAATGCTTATGGAAAGGGCACCAGTGACCTCAATGCCAGACTCAGGTTGCTGGTTGAGGGTTAACTGACCTGTCACCTTCACCCTCTCACCTTAACTGACCTGTTTGTGGCACTTGATGTAATTGACTGCTTCCTTTTTTCTGATGATTTTATATACTTTAAAAAACTGTGCCATATTTAACATGTAAAACAATATATTTAATATATCTGGGATATAAAACATAAAATGAACACCCATGAACCGATCTCCCAGCGGAGGAAATAGACCATTACCATTACCTTAGCACCTGTACCTGTGTGCCTCTTCCCCATCCCATCCCCCACTTCCCCAAGAGTAAGTGACATCCTGAATTTTGTATTCATCATGGCCTTGCTTGCTCTTGTGTACAGTTTAGCATGTATGTCTTATCTGTTTGCATCAACTATTTAGTTTTGCTTCTTCCTGAATCTTTTCTGGGATGTTACTGTTATTAGTCTTTATACCTTATGAGTATCTTATAGGTATTTTTGTGTTTACTTAATATTTAATAATAAAGATCATTAGAACGAAAAAATGCACTTCCTTGGTGATTCTGATGGACTGGTATTTAGAAATTACAGCTGTGGTTTCTATTATTCTAACAACTATCATACCATTTCCGTACCCTCTGTCCCAAGGCTGTTCAAATCCCTGCCTTCCTCACTAACCCGGAACATTGCAGGTGATCTTGTATCTCTTCTCCATGCTGGCTGGCACAGTGATTTTTCTGACATGCTCTGGCCTGCTTAAAGTCTCTCAATGGCTCCTTCTTACCTACAGATAAACTTCAAACTCTGAAGAGTAACATTCAAGGCCTGCCCTGGTCCAGCTCCTGCTTTATCTTTTGCCTCTCATTCCTCATCCCAAGCTGCTTTCTTGCAGTTCCATGGATATCTTTTGCTTAGGCATTATACACATTGTTCCCTCTACTTGGAGGAATGCCTTTTCTCCTTCCCCCTTTCTGTGTCTGGCAAACACCCACTAATTCATCTTCCAAGAATGACCTGAAGGTTCTTCTCCTGAGCCCCTTCCTCTCCCTCCCACTTTCCTTGTTTATAACTAGCTGGAGCATTCCTTTGGTTGTTCATGTCAGTGTGCATGGGGGTGTGTGTGTGGCCATGTGTGGCCATGTGTCCCTGTCCATCCGCCTTAGGAAGACAAACTTGAAGACAGGGACAGAGTCTTAGTTTTTTTCATCTCTAATGTTTACAACAAAGTCTGGGCATGTTGTAAGCACTGAGTTAATCCTTGTCAAATGACATCTGAGCCACCAGGGAAGCCCAGTGGATGCATGGGGACTCCAAACTCAAGTCCATGTTGACCCCTGAGGACAAGCCAAAGCCTCCTTAGCCAGGCTTTCTCCCAGTTCCCGTGGTATTCCCCAGCCTCCCCACCATGCTGCGCCTGTACGTGCACACACTGTGGGTGAACTGGGGCGTTTGGCGTCAGCCCCACTTCCCTGTGCTCCTCAGGTCTTTCACAGAGACCATGAGCTCCCTGTCCCCTGGGAAGCCGTGGCAGACCAAGCTGAGCAGTGCGGGACTCATCTATCTGCACTTCGGGCACAAGCTGCTGGCCCAGTTGCTGGGCACTAGCGAAGAGGACGGCATGGTGGGCACCCTCTATGACAAGGTGGGGACCCAAGGACAGAGATGCCCGCCACGTGCATCTCCACCACGTGGGCTAGAGTGACACTCAAGACCACACTCAGGTCAGGGTTCCTGACTCATGCTGGCCCACCACCCTCTTGCTCAGTCAAGCCCATCTTCTCACAGTGGGGTGGGTAATCTCTCCTGCCTCCATTCTGGGGTGGTTGAGACATGGATGAGGTCATGTATGGGGAAGGGCTTTGAAAACTGTAAAGCATGCCCTGACATACATAAAAAACAATTGTTCAACAGCTTGGTAGTAGACCAGGCTGCTTATGTTTGGCAGCATGTGACTAAGGTGCTGGCTGCCCTGAAGGTGGAGGGCAGCGTATCTCAGGCACCGCTGTTTTCAAAGGCACAGCGAGTTCGGAAACTGAAAAGGGTTTGATTATGAAAACCTCTTCAGGTTCCACCAGCACCTCCTGCAGGCAGTTCAGGTGCCTTTGGTTGGGCAAGCAACAAGGGCTAGTGGCCCTGGCAAGCATGTTGGATCCATGATTCTGAGGTCACCTACTTGACCCTGCTCCTGTGAAGTTCACAAGTCAAACTTCAGATGCAGTCAGCTCTGTTTTTTGCAGCTAGGCTGTTGAGTTGTTCTCTATCTCGGCTTGTCTGTCTCCTCTGACACAGCATTAGTGTGATCCAAAAAAGTTGAATAAATGTGAATGTTTATTTCTTTGTGTGTGTGTAATAAAGTTTTATTAAAGTATAAAGGAGATAGAGAAAGCTTCTGACATAGACATCAGAAGGGGGTAGGAAGAGTACCCTGAATGTTTAAGTTAGAACTTCTGGAATAGGTTTTAGACTGCCTGGGTCAATTTTCCCTTCTACTGCCGAGGGGTTTCTAAGCAACTGAACTAAATTATACCCAAGGTTTTATTACATTTCTGGTGTACTACATAGTGATTCACAATTTTTAAAGATTATACTCCACTTACAGTTATTAGAGAATATTGGCTGTATTCCATGTGCTATAAAATATTTTCTTGTAGCTTGTTTAAGCATGTTCTTTTTTTATTTTTAAATGTTTATTTTTTTTGGCTGTGCTGGGTCTTAGTTGTGGCATGTGGAACCTAGTTCCTCAACCAGGGATCGAACCCAGACCCCCTGCATTGGGAGCTTGGAGTCTTAGCCACTGGATCACCAGGGATGTGCTTATTTATTTAGCACATAGTAGTTTGTACCTCTTAACCCCACCCCATCTTGCTCCTCCTCTCTTCCCTCTTCCCAATGGTAGCCACTAATTTGTTCTTGTCTGTGAGTTTGTTTTTTTCTGTTGTATTCACTAGTGTTTTAGATGCTACATATAACTGATATCATACAGTATTTGTCTTTCTGTAACTTATTTTACTAAATATAATACTCTACAAGTCTATCCATGTTGTTGCAAATGGCAAATTTTCATTATTTTTTTCATTTTATGGCTAAGTCACATTCTGTTGTATACTATATTTTCTTTATCCACTCATCTGTTGGACACTTAGG